AGGACAGCCCTCATGCCACTGCCTTCTGCTGGTCACTGCTGGGCACCAAGAGGTGACTAGCGGGTGTTTTTATGCTGCTCAGTGCCCAGGGTTTTGCTCCTGCTGTCAAGAGCAAACAGACTGGACAGCTCAGTGCAGACACTATGCTGTGCACTGGAGCAGGGAGGGGCAGTATGCTGGCTGGGAGCTGATGGTCCAGCTGGGCTGGAAGGGACAGACTGAGATGTGGACAGACCCCACAACAGGCTGAGGCATGTAGACTGGAACTGCTCCTGATGTTGTAGGACTCACGTTGGCTGACAGCTGGGATGTCAAGGTGGCCACCTTCTCCTGGGATGACTCCAGCTCCCGGCGCAGCTTGCGGATTTGCTACAGGAGAGAGCAGGAGGGAAGGGTCAGGTGGGGACAGGTGGGTAGCCCCTGCAGGGCCAGGAGCAGCAGGCAGCGCAGGAGGAGGAGTGGGGGCTCTCCGTACCTCGGACTGCATCCTTTCCTCAGCCTGGCAGAGCGCGGCGCAGCAGGAAGAGACAGAGGCAGGCAGTTAGGAGGGAGGAGGAGGTGAGGCATGGGCAGGCTGAGATTGGGGGCAGAGACATGCACAGCATTCAACCCAGCTCCAATGCCCTGTGCACCCAGCCCCCAAGAGCCTCCCCTGCTGTTGGAGTGCTGCTCCCCCCAGGCACATGCACCAGACAGGATAAAGCCCCATGCCCCAGACATGCATGGAGTAGGCACATCCTGGCTCAGCCAGGCAGGAGCACAGGGGCAGCTCTTACTGAGGAGTAAGTGGAGGAAGCGCTGGACGCCAGGGACAGCACGGATCCATGAACTGCAAGAGAACACACACACCTGAGTCAAGGCAGGTCTCCCGCAGGCCCTTGCAAAGGGCAGGATGCGGCAGATGCAGGCTGGCTGCCAGGGCAGGGACTATGGGGGTACGGCAGGGGAAGCATGGGTAGGTAGATCTCTGGTGGGTAGAGTGTGTGGCAGAGCCCTGAAGACCGCATCTGGCTCCTGCGTAGCTGCCTACATCTGGCAGCTGCCCTGGGAGATCACGCAGCCTGCCTCTGGCACTGCCCAGTCACAAGCTCGGAGAGCCGAAGGGATGATCCAGAGCACAGCCTGCCCCCAGGACTTGAGTATCATTGCACCCATTTGGCAGATGGGGAAACAGAGGCACAGCACATGGGAAGGAATGGCTGCAGGTAGCTCAGAGCTGGAGGCAAAGCTGAAGACAGTCCCTGGGGCTTGACACCCTACACTGTGCCCTTTGTGCAGCTCCACTTCCCTGCAGACTAAGCCCACAGACATCTGTGCCCCTGCCCACCCAAACTCCCTTTCCTGGGCCCAGTGCATTGCCCTGCTTGCTGCAGTTTGCCAGCACCTGCTGTCAGCCTGGGCTCACAACCCCAGGCCAGCCTTGGTTCTTGGCTCTGAATCAGCTTCTCTGCTCCCTCTTCCTGACTCCTCTTCAGAAGGACCCCAGAGACTGTGCTCTGGGAGAGGGCTGGAGCCGACAGATTTTCAGCAGGAGGCTGTGGACACAGGTGGGACCCAGGGCCTTGCTCTCACAGTCTGTGGCCTGGTTAGCCTGTCTCCTACTGGTGCCCACAGGGATCCCCCTCACTCATCCTGAAGCCCCTGTGGTGGAAAGGATCTGCCTGGCCATATTAACCCATTCTTGTCACAGCTCTTGTGCATGGTAGGAGGCCTGTGAACAGAACACACTGGGGTTGGGATGAGAAGCACCTGCCTGCTATTGCTGCTGCTACCAGGATGTGCAGGGCCAGGGAGGGGAGGGCAGGGAGCCGTGCAACCTCTCACTGCACCAGGGCATTGGGGCGGAGAAGCCTGTCCCCATGGCTGGAGCAGGATTGCAGCAGAATCTCACCATCGTCCACAGGGTCCCGGAAGGAGCCCGAGCGGATCATCCCCTTGGGTCTGTCTGCCAGGGAGAGGGTGCTGCCCATTTGGGAGGTGCTGTACAGCTCGAAGGTGGAGTCGTGGGTGGGGATGCTGTTGGAGCGGGTGATCCGCGGAGTGGTGGCAGCGGTGGGACTCACTGGAAGGAGAAGGCAGGTTGCGGGGAGGAGAGGCGGGGTCAGAAACGTGCTGGTTCCCATGAGCCTTGCCTAGGGGAGCTGAGTGGCAGGGAGCATGGGGCGGGGAGGAGCCAGAGCTCAGCCGGAGCCAGGGAGACAGGGACGGGGAAGGAAGGAAGCTATACAAAGGAGGTCACTGGGCTGGAGACTTGGCTTGGCCAAGTCATCAGGAATCTAGTGAAGCTGCTCAGGCCGCACTGACTGCACCTGCCCCTCCCCCAGTGCTGGCCCACTGGTTGTAGTGGATGGTGCCTCCTGGAAACAAAAGATTAACGCTCAAAGCTACGTGTCCTGGTGTAAATCAGGAGTAACTCCACAGGGCTCAATTCCACTCTCCACCCCCATGAATGACAGGAGTAAACCGCCTAGGCCTGGCCTGCACACTGGTGTCAATCTGAACCAGTTCTACCCATGGAGCAATGGGGTGGAGTCCTGGGCCCAGGCTTGCTGAGTGTGCAATAACCCAGGCTCATGCTCCTGCTGACAGCTTGCCTGTGCTGGCTCTGCCCAGAGCTGCTGAATGGAGCCTAGGCCAAAGCCAGGTTTGCCCGGCGGGACATCCAAGGGCCCATGAGCCTCCAGGCAACATGGGGGTAACTTGCTGCAGAGGCTGGAAGCTGCTTTAAGGGTCAGACTCCTGCTCCTCCTGTGAACAGCACTGACCTGTGCTTCTCCAGAGCTATTTGTCCAGGGGCTCCCCAGACAGGGAGCCACAGGCAATAATGCAACCAACCATCCCACATTCTCTGGGACAGTCTCAAACTCAGAAGCTGTGTCTTGGGGTCTCCAAGGACTTTCTGAAACAGGACTTTGTCCCAAATTTGAAAACCCAGCCGCAGGCAGATTTCTGCTGTGTGCAGAGGGGGTGCAACTGGACACTTTCCAAATCCATGTGAGCAGGGCTGTCCGGCTTCTGGTTTGGGAGGCAGCCTTGGGAGAGCTGTGCCCATGTGGTGCTAGGCCCAAGATTATTGTGTCTGAATATGGCAATGTGGCTTCCAGTGCAGGAGGTGGCTGTGTCTCAGCACAGCTCTCCAGCCTACCTGCTGCATGGTGCCCTGACCCCAACAGGAACCAGCACAACCCAGTCTTGGCTGCAGAGATCTCTGGAGCATCCAGGACTTTGCCTTGGGTTTCACGCTTTGAACACTGCCTGCTGCAGTGGATAAACCAAGGGAGGTGGCAGTCCCCAGGAAAGACCCAGCAAGTGGTAAGGCTGGGAAGGCCTTTGAATAGCTTCCACCCTGCGGGTCACACTGCAAGGCAAGCTGGAGTGTGTAGGGCTGGGCTTGCACAGCATGTCCCCACAAGGCTCAAACCCTGGAGCTCTGGGGCTGGTGGCTGTTGCCAGCGGAGCTGTGCTGATTTACACCCAGCAGGGCCTGACCCAACAGTGGGCAGGGTGAGAAGATGGAGACTGACCGATATTGGTGAGAGGGCCTTTCCCGACCAGCGAAATGGAGGGGGCGGGAGGAGAGGGCAGGTCTGATTGGTTGTCCGATTCCGGGAGCCCTCCGATGGTGTGCGAGTGTCGCCTTTCCTTGGCCTCCTCTTGGGATGGGATCTGGTACCTGGTGGAGCCAAGGGAGAGATCAGCCATGGAAAACTATCCACTCATGTCCTGGGGCAGCGCTCCCTCCACTCAGCCGTAAGGCCCTGCACGGGACCTGGAGATTGGAGCAGGCTTCTGGCTTCAGCATGAAAGATACTGAGATACTGACTCCAGCACCAGGACACAGGGCATTTGGGAAGCTGGCTGTAGGGCTGCTGTGGCAGCTGCACCTCTGGAGGCTCCACCCAGCTACCCTGGGTGTCAATGGGAGCTGGTGCCCTGCTGCTACAGGCAAAACATCCTCCATTTGCTCTGACCAACCCCCATCATCCTGGGCAACCAAGCTGCGAGCCTCCTGTTTGTGACAGAGGCTGGAGGCCAGAAGGTTGGTCCCAGCAGCCAAGGATGGGGAGGCTGGGGGGATTCATTTCCCTGGTCTGCCCCTGGCTCCCTGTGTGACCTTGGGCAATTCATTTAGCCCCTAGGCCTCAGCCCTTCATCAGGGAAGCAGAGTTAGTTCTTCTCCCTTTATGCCTGCCAGGGTGTTGTACAGTTGCCTGGGGAGAGATTTTACCTTAGCCCTTTCTTGGGCAGTATGTTCTGGTCTTGGTCTGCACTTGGAGAGCAAAAGCAATACGAGTCACTGTTGGCTCTGTGGGGTGTTTATGCCCATCTGAGAGGGCAGACAGGAACAGTCCTGGGGCCATATCCACCTAGGGACATATCATCAGCCCATCTGGGGGCCAAGGGTTGCACTGCAGGGCTCATCCAGTGAGCAGGTACAGGACATGGGGGGAAGGCACTAAGTCAGCCCCCAGGGGCAGAGCTGGAGATTGCCAGGACCATTCTCCTGGGACTGCAGAATAACCTGACTGGAAGCCGTGGGAGGGCGATCTACTCTGAGAGAGATACAGGGCTGATGTACTGTGCCTCCCAGCAGTGAGGGAGGAAGGCTCTGGCAACATGGCCCTGCCCTCTCCAGCTCTGGGATCATGGCCCCTGCATCCCCACAGTTGCCCAGTCCCTTTAGGAACTGCCTGTGCCTGCCCAACCTTTGGCCATACCTGTCCAGATGTGCGATCCTAGGGCTCCCACTCCAGCTCAGCTCACTGCTCTCCTCCTCTGCGCTCGTGGGTGGAGCCATGGCTGGGGCAGGGGTGGTGGTGCTGCCCCCGGAGAAGGCACTGGGCAGGCTCATTGGCATCTGCAGGGACTCCATGCTGCGGTGCAAGCCAGAGAGTTTAGGGTACATCCTTCCCTCCTTGGGGACGGCAAAGCCACTCATGAACTCCAGGCCCTGGGAGAAGCTGGCCGAGTTGATGTTGAGGATGGGGGCAGGGCTGGGGGTGAAGCAGGGTGCAAGGTGCCCGGCTGCTGGGTGCAGGTCCTGCAGCTTGCTGGCATGAGGCTGGTGCACGTCACTGGAGGAGGGAAGGTCCAGGCTGTTGGAGTTGACCTTGTCCAAGTTGGCTAGAGAAGGGGGTTTCACGTAGCTCTTGGCAGCTGCCCTGTGGGGACACAAAATCGCATGAAGTTGGCCCCCAAGGCCAACCCGCACGCCACCTGAGCTGCTCAAGGGCTCTTATGAGCTGAGCAGCCCAGAGCAATGCCTGGCCTGGCCTGGCTGAGGGCTCCCTGCCCTAGGCAGTGGGGCAATGCAGGGAGTATCCCTGGCTCCTACCTGAGAGGGGTGGGTGGCAGCTCAGCCACCTTGGTGGCAGGCGAGTGGCCAGCCTGGGCTTTGGGGGTGCTCTCAGGGGAGCCAATACTCTTCAGGGAGACACACTCTGAATCCAGTGCAACAGCCTTGGCTTTGGCCTTCTCCTTCTCCCGGTCCGTCTGGTTCACTGGGGCTGGTGTGCTCCGGCCTGTGCCGATCTTGGAGGGCTCCTTGAGGCGTGACACTGAGATGCCTCCTTGCTTGGTGCTGAGGAGGCTGGGGTCAATGCTGCTGCTTACAGGCCGGTTCCCACCACGCCCGCCTGTCACGCTCATGGAGCTGGACTTGGCTGGCCGTGGCAGGCTTCGGTACTGGATGTTGGAGCGGGCCCCAGGCGCCAGGAAGCCAGGCTCGCCAGCATTGGAGACATCCAGGCTGGTTTTCCTCCCATTGACTGGCTTGACAGGGATGCCAGAGCTCTTCTGGATCTTCCCGAGTGTGGCTGAGCCCCCAGCCTGCATCACTGTAGCAGTGCCGGTGGTGGGAGCCGGCTTCTTGTAGCCGAAGGAGCCAGCGGTGGAGGGGCGGGTAAGACCTGAGGGAGGCTTCTTGGCATCTCCAATGCGGTCCCGACCGGCATCAGAGGAAGAGCGCTGCAGGCCCGTGTTCTTCACAGACAGCTTGCTCTTGTCCGTGGCTTTGCCCTCAGGTTTGCCTGCAAGAGCCAAGAAAGGGGAATAAAGTGCTGGGAGCCAGAAAGTGTCCCAGCCTCACAGGCCAGCAGGGGCTGGGCCTCTGGGCACAGAACAGGCTCACTCGCCCCAGAGGCTCTGCTGTGTCTGGGAAGCTCTGGGTCTGCCAAAAGCCTGACACCCTCAGGAAGGGCCAGGGCCTGTGCTCCACGCAACAAGGATGACTGACACCTCTGCCCCTTTGCAGCACTTCTCTGCTGCAGATCCCCCAAAGTGGTAAAGGAGGATTGGATCAGATGGGAACCTAAGGTACAGGGAGGCAAAGAGCCTGCCCTCAGTCACCCAGCAAATATGGGCAGGTGCCAGGAGCCAGGCCCAGATCTTGTGAAGGCTTTGGCTAGGAGGCCCTGCTGGAGCTGGATGCACCATGGGAACCAGGGCCAGGCTTCTGAGCAGAAAAAGCTCAAAACACCAGGGGCCCTCAACCCTGCAGCTGAGCTGGTGAAGTGTGCGGCCAGACCAGGGTGAGTAGGGTGGGGGTTTGCAAGCAGCTCTCATACAAGAGCTGACATGGGCCTAGCTCTGTTATGTGGTTCATGCCAGATCCCACATAAAGTCTATGATTATAGTTGGGCCCGTGCTGGTGGCTTCCTGCATGGACAATTCCCCACTGGGTACCAGACCCTGGAAGGATGAGCAGCAGGGGATACAGGAGGCTTTGCTCTGTTCTACCACAGCAGAAAGTCATCACAACCTGACCCCCCGC